CTATATAATAACAACTTTCAATATTCATGGAGCCCTTTTATCAATGTTGTACATTTTTGTTAATATATAGTAAAACTCGAGGACAAGTTCATATCCATAGTAGAAAATAGACTGCTTTGAATCATTTCTTTATAGAATGTATTCATTTTGTTTTTCATATACTAGATGAAACTGACCATGGATTGGAACTATTATCGAATAAAAATCTTCAAATAGGTGATCGAGTAGTTATTCGTGGAACAAAATATGGTATTCTAAAATATATTGGTAAAATTCATGTCAATGAAGGTATATGGTGTGGCATTAAACTAGATGGTCCCTTGGGTAAACATGATGGTAAAATTGAAGGGATACGATATTTTCAATGTCAACATCGTTATGGAATTTTTGCTCCTTTACAAAGTGTTGAAAAAGTCATCACTGATACCGATGATATAAGAAGAATTTCTCGGCAGTCAATCATTTCAACAGGTTCATGTGATCAATATCATGATACAAATAGTCAGGATTCGAACATTTCTGAATTTTCAACATCACCAAATAGTTTGCATTATTTTCCACCACGATCACCAAGAAAATTTCCTCAACCAAATTTTTCTACCGATGTAACATCAATGGAAACATTATCATCAACACAAATAACAGATTTACATGAAAAAATAAAAGAAAAAAATCTATCTATTGAAAAATTAAGCAAAGAAAATGAAAGAGATCGTTTAGAATTGTCGAATTCTAAAGAACAAATGAATCAAATGAAAAAACAGCTAACAACCTTACAACAACAATACGAAATAAAAGAAAAACAAAACGAACAATTAATAAAAGAACAAGTTGAATTAAGACAACGTTTAGAAGATTTACAATTTCAACTTGAAGAATATCAATATTCTGAAACAGATACAGACCTTTTAAAAATACCTATTGATGATCATAATCAATTATTATCTCGACATGAAATTGCAAATTATGAACAAACAAAAGAAAAACTTGTTCAACTTGAATCTATTAATAAAAATTTAATACATGAAAAACAAATATTACAAGAAGAATTAAAACAATCTAATGAAATAAAAGAAAAAGAAAAACAAACAAATAACTTTATTAATGAATTAGAAAAACAAATTGAATTACTTAAATTCCAAATATCTGATCTACAAAATAAAGGTAATAATTATTTTTTAAATAGAACTCTTGTTCTATATATCTTAATTTTTAGATCAAAATAAAACTATTCAATTGAATGAAAAAGATACGTTTTACAAACAGCAAATCATCGAATATCAATCAAAAATTGATCAAATCACTAAACAAGATCAAAATGTATTTATTTCTTGTTTTTAAGAAAGAATATTTTTCAACGCATTTAAAACAGATAAATTCAATAAGTCAGGAAGAATACCTAAGAATGGTAGCTAGAGTGTATATATAAAATCCAAAAGTCAAAAATATACCATTCTAGAACTTCAATTTGTCGATAAAATTTTCTAGAAACTTAATTGAATGATAGGTCGAACAGTACTTAACTGATTAAAATCGAATTTGGCTCTCTGTAAAATACAAGCTAAAAGGAGTGTTGCAGTATAGAAGTAACAGACAGTGATAGACGTTGTTGATATATGATAAAAGAACGTATGACAATAAGACCTCGCTATAACATATAAACTACTTCCTCATTGCATTGATGGACGTTTAAACCAAACGTATAGGGGAAGAAATGTGTCCTGAAATATGTAGAATAAAGCAATGTCTATATGATTAGCAGTAACAGCTATTATCTTAGAATAGAAAACCATCCACTAGAAACATTTCACAAGGTGTCATAGAATGCTGTGGTTTGTTTTATTCTGAGAGTCAGTTAAAATCCATAATTCTTGTCTAATCTTTCATGTTTAATTGTATTTCATCAAGTTCGGTAGCAATATGAGGAGTAGCAATCAAAACTAACTAACAAAAGAACCTTCTCAGATGATCTTCTTTTCGATTTCAATCACTTTTTGCCTATAGATACTATCTCTATTAAAAACCCCAAATATGTTTCAGTTCCTATTAAAACTTGATGAAATTATTGAACTTTTAATATTTCTATTTACTAAAGATCCCACTTTTTTCGAAAAAAATAAGTTTTTGAAATTTTGTCTTCAAGCTACCTACATGTGGAAGTCTCATAGTATGTATATTAAGCTGCAGCGTATGAAAGCTTCGTATCTTCAACAAACAAACGTTTCCAAATATTCGTCTATTACTCATCATATTTCAAAAAGCTCATAGTTGGAAGATAGAAAGTATTCAACTCAAATGGAGTTAATTGCACAATAAAATTTTAAAATATAATTTTTCCCGAAATTTTGAACTCCTACAAAGGTATCTGCGAAATAAACATATTAGAATTCAATAGTTTCACAACGTTGCACTAGAAACTAAATACTATGCAACATATATAGACGAAAGAGCATTGAAATCGGAGGAGAATTTATGGGGAGATTCTGTCATAAGTCTGATTCAAAGATTTAACTGAAACTGGTACTTCTAAATATTGTAACTATGTTGTCCTTAGTATGAAAGCCTATACTCATAGATTCTAATATAGCATGAGTCCTCTATTAGATTTTCAGTGTATTTCTAAAAAAACAGAATCCTAAATTCTAATCTTCTTTATCACAGATCAAGCTAATCATAGTTCTAGAAAACCATATCTTCAATCAATTCTAATCTTTCTCAAAACCATGTATGAAATTTTTAGATTCGATTACAACTAACAACAGTAGAACAAGAGAAACATTTAAATGATAAACAAATTACGAATTTATCGGATGAACTAAAACGATATAAAGAAAGTATTGTTCCTGATATGGAAAAAGAATGTCAAATACTCAAATCCGAATTAGAAAACCGAGGTAGATCATTTTCTTCTTCTTAACTAAATGCTTTTTTTCTCTTATTTTTCTAAGATTCCACTGGTAATAGAGAACTTAATGAACGCGAAATATATTATCAACAACAAATAAAAGAATATCAAGGTAATATTGATCGAGTTACTTATGAAACAGAAAAAATTCGAACTGAATTACGACAACTACAACAAGCAAATGATTTAAAAGAGAAAACAACTAAAACTTTAATTGATGAATTGAAGAAAAATTATGAAACAGTTCAAAATGAATTAATGGAATTAAATGAACAAGGTTAATTTATTTATTTGTTTTTGCTTTACTTCGTTTTTTAATTATTCAATTTTTATCATAGAATATACAGCAAAAATGACTTTAAATCAACGCGAATCATATTATAAACAACAAATAAATGAATATGAAAATAATCTAAATCAAGCAATGCGTCAAACTCAAAAGATTCAAAATGAATTAGTTAAATTAGAAGAAGAAAAATCTTCGCATGATAATAAATCTAATAATACAATTAATTTATTAAAACAAGATTATGAAAAACAATATGAAATCTTACAAAGTCAATTAACAAAATTACAAGATAAAGGTCAAAAAATTACTATTTTTTTCTTTAATTTCTATTTTAGCATCGTTATAGATCATACACATAATATTATCTTAAATGAACGTATAGGTCATTATGAAATACAAATAAAAGAACATCAAATTAAAATAGATCAACATATTCGTGAAATACAAGCTCTTCAAGCTGAATTAATAAATTTACAAGAAGAAAAATCAAATGATGAAGAGCAATTCAATGATACGATTAATAAATTACAACATGATTATGAAACTCTGAAATTTGAATTACACGAACGAGGTTTAATTATACTTCTTTTTTTTTCTTATCTCTATCATATTTCTATTCTGTAGATCAAACACAAACCATCGTAATGAACGAACGTGATGCTCTTCATCAATCCCAAATAAAAGAACTTGAAACCAAGAGAAATCAATCACTTGTTGAAATACAAAATCTTCAATCTGAATTAATTAAATTACGAGAAGAGAAAAACACCATCGAAAAACAACTGAAAGAAACTATCAATACGTTAAAACAAGATCATGAAAGACAATATAAAGAACTTCAAACTGAAATAGATGAATTAAATGAACGAGGTTAGTAATTAATTTTAGTTATTTCATTGCATTTCTTCTTTGTTTCTTAATGATAGAACGTAAAGCACATAGAACTGTACATCAACATGAAGCAGAATTTGAACAGCAAGTAAAAGATTATCAAACTAAAATAGAAGAAGCCAATATCGAAACTCAACATATTCAAACTCAATTAGCTGAACTTCTAGAAGAAAAATCCAAATCCGATGATACAAATAGTTCATTAAAACAAGACATTGAAAGACTTACAGATGAATTGAAAAATCGAGGTTTGATCATACGATTTGTTTTGTTTATTTTCATTTTGATATCTATCATAGATCACACTCAAAATATGGCATTAAAGGAACATGAAGCTTTTTATGAACTACGAATAAAAGAATATCAAATTAAGAAAGATCAAGATGTTCATGAAATAGATATTCTTCGAGCTGAATTAGCGAATTTACAAGAAGAAAAACTATTTCATGAAAAACAATTAAATGAGATGATTATTAAATTAAAACAAGATTATGAAAATCTTAAACATGAGTTACACGAACAAGGTTTAATTATAATTCTTGTTCTAATATCTATCTCATATCTACCATATAGATCAAACACAAAACATGGCTACGAATGAACGTGAAGCTCATTATCAAGCTCAGATAAAAGAACTTGAAACCAAGAAACATCAATCACTTGATGAAATACAAAATCTTCAATCTGAATTAATTAAATTAAGAGAAGACAAAAACACTATC